CATCGATAGTGACGTCGATGGTGAAATCGACTGGGGAATCAAGAGTGAGATCGATAGTCAGATCGATAGAGAGATCGATAGTGGGATCGATAGTGAGACCGATTATGAGGTCGATAGTGATATCGGTAGTGAGGTCAAAAATAAGATCGTTCGTGGGTTCGATAGTGAGATCGGCCATGATATCGATTGCGAAATATATTGTAAGGTCGCTTGCGAAATCGATGGTAACATCGATGGTGAGATCGACAACGAGAGGAATCATGAGATCGATTGAAGAATCGATAGTGAGATCGATTGTGGGATCGATGGTGGAATCGATAGTGGGATCGATCGAGTGAGATCGACAGTGATATCTATACTTGGATTGAGAATGATATCGATGTAGAAATCGGTGGTGAGATCGATAGTGAGATCGATGGCGAAATCGATTGTAAAACCGAGAATGAAATCGAGCGTGAAATCGATAGTGAGATCGATCGAGAGAACGATAGTGAGATCGATAGTGAGACCGAGTGTGAGGTCGATAGCGGGATCGATTATAGGGTCGATAGTGGGATCGATAGGGACGTTGATTGTGCTATCGATAGTGAGGGGGAGAGTGGGATCGATTTCCAGGTCGATAGTGGGAGCGGTTCTGGGATCGATAATGGGATCGGTGTTGAGGCCGATCGAATGAAATCGATAGTGAAATCGATAATGATATCGGCAGTGGGATCGGTAGTTGGATTGATCGGGTGAGACGTTGGTTCCCTTCCCCAATCCGAACCTCCTTGTCACCCGAAGGGTGTTCGTGTAGTTATTGGTTTACGCATTCCGCACCGCATAGCGCACATAGATTGCACCGCGTAGACTTCACCACATAGCTCGCACCACACCACATAGACTGCACCACATATAGTGTTTAGAACAGATTGCACAACATAACTTACACCACACATGAAGCCACATAGCTTCACTTCTCTAAAGCGTGAACCAGCGTTTTCGCTTCTGCACGTGGCCGCGCAAGCCCATCGTTGGCAGATGACCAGCCAGCAAATTCCCAAAACCGTATCATGTCCTCATCGAATACACGAATGGTCGGGGTGCCTTGGGGCACTGGCATATGTATGGCGGTTCCCACTTGTATCTGGACATGTTCAAGGTTGTGCCGTTGGCTTCGTGGTAGCGAAACCCATGATTCACGTCCTGGTCGTCGTCCTACCAAAACCTACAACATTTCATAAAACTTCTGAGGTTTGCTACTTGGGGACCCTCTTCGGGCCTCATTGGGCCGCTTGGGGGGTCAAATGAATGAGTTTGTGGCCATATTGGGGCCATCTTTGGCTGGTTTTGGGCCTCATGGGCCGTCTTGTGGATCTCGGTGGGGTTTGTCGGGGCCCTCTTGGGCCATTTTGGGCCGTTTTGGAACGCCCGCAACCAAACCAGGCCAGGCGCACCGAACTGCGTCGGGACACGATTTCCGTGCATAGAAGATATCGATACATTGTATGCGTACGTCTACATGGGCCCCAAGAGGCGATTTGGATGGCCTCGGGGGGGGGAACATACTCTTCAAGATGGCTTCAAGGTGACATCCATGACCCCCAATTGGGCCCCAAGAGCACCCCAAGAGCGCCCCACGAGAGCCCCGAGAGGCGGTGTGTCTCATCCTCCCCCTCATCCTCCGCCTCCGCCTCTTCCTCCTCTTCCTCATACTCTTCCTCCTCCTCCTCCTCCTCCTCCTCCTCCTCCTCCTCCTCCTCCTCCTCCTCCTCCTCCTTCCTCCTCCGCCATCCTCTCTCCTCCTCCTCCTCCTCCTCCTCCTCCCTCCTCCTCCTCCTCCTCCTCCTCCTCCTCCTCCTCCTCTCCTCCTCTCCTCCTCCTCCTCCTCCTCCTCCCCCCCTGCCCCCGCCCCCCGCGGGCTCCAAAAATGGCCCGAAGAGGATCTCCAAGGCCACCCCCTTGCTCCCAGAGGTCTCTCTGTTCATCCTGATTGCCCGCTCTGTTTCACTATATGTGTCTGTTCGTCCCTTCTCCCGTCAGCTCGCATGGGCAAAGTTTATGACTGGGCTGGTGGGGATTTGTTTGGTCGCGAGCGCAAGCGAAAAGGCCGCGCGCCGTCCAAGGCGACCGCTAACCAGCAGAAGCCTAAAATGGCAGGTGGGGGTCCGATTTTGCTTGCGAGCGCAAGCGGGAGAGCCGCGCGCCGTCACAAGGGTCAAACAGCCGAAATGCCGCGGCCAAGGACAGGAGCGGCGAGCAAGCAGCACGCTCAGAAGCCGGTCCTCGGCTACGAGACAGCATGTGCCGAATGTGGAGCCCGAACACCACCGCCGTCGTCAAGTAAAAAAACCCGTGACCACATCACATAGGCCAGCCTCAAAGAAGTGCCCACAGAAGCGCTGCATCCGGAGGAACCCCAGTCGGCGATCAATCGACGCACCACGGACCATGGCCCCCCGACGGAACCAGCGAAGACTGTGACGGGTGCAGAGGCCACGGTTGCACTGTGGTGGACCCGGGCACCTCCTGCGGGGGGACAACCGCAGGAAGGGCCCTGGTGTCTGCGGCACTGGCCCCAGCGTCACGAGGGGAGCGCGCTGGGGCCCACGTACGCGCTGTCGGTCGCAGCTAGCAGCCGCAGGAGCAAACAGTGGGCAAGCCCGTGCAACTCCTGCGGGGGGACAGCCGCAGGAGGCTGGTGGGGATGCGCGAGGCGTGAAGAGTTGATTCTTTGACGACGCCCGAGTGCCCTGGATGCCCTGCAAGGCAACTCCAGAAGGGTTCCTACACAGCCAGGAGACCCGAAGACGGCTCAAAGTGGCCACACAGCCCCCCAAGGATCCCCCCGAGAGGCCAAAGTCAAACACCAACTGGTTTCCAGTGGTGTTTGCATTATCGCCCGTTCGCTTCCGATGGGCTCTCGGGGCATCAAGACGGCCCCATGATCGGCCAAGAGAACCCCATGAGAGACCCAAAAACGCTCCAAGGCGGCCACCAAAATTTCAAAAACTGCCCAAGAGCGTCCCGGGTGCTACAGAAATAATGTGTGAAGCTCCACGCGGATGGGAGGGGACTGATTAAGGTGCCCCTCCAGGATGGCTCCAGGAGGGCTCTCACGACGCCCAAGACGCCCCCAATAAGACTTCAAAGGTTCCCAAGCAGGCCCCTGGAGACCTCCAAAATGACACCGGGAGGTATTCAAGAGGCTCCAACAAGTATCGAGCTCAGCATTGTGGGCCTTTTTGCTGCAACGGGCTGCTGGGCATACGGCAAGCATGAATAATTACATAGCACCCCGCAATTGCGGATAAGAGTGAGGGGGCGGGCGCGGGCGACGCGGACGTCGTCGAGCCGGCGGACCTCGTGGCCCCCGCCTTCCCTGTCGATGTCGCTCTCCTCCTCCTCCTCCTCCTCCTCCTCCTCCTCCTCCTCCTCTCCTCCTCCCTCCTCCTCCCCTCGCTCCTCCTCCTCCTCCTCCTCCTCCTCCTCCTCCTCCTCCTCTTCCTCGTCCTCGTCCTCGTCCTCTCGTCATCGTCATCGTCATCCTCCTCCTCCACCTCGTCCTCCTCTTCTTCCTCGTCCTCCCTCTCCCCCCCTCGTCCTTCCATCATCGTCCTCCCATTGTCGTCTCCCCCTCATCGGCCTCCATCATCGTCCTCCCACTGTCGTCCATCATCATCATCCTCCCCCTCCTCCCCCTCCTCCCCCTCCTCATCCTCCTCCTCCCCCTCCTCCCCCTCCTCGTCCTCCTGCTGCTCCCCCTCCTCTTTCTCCACATTCTCCTTACATCCTCTCTTCTTTCGCGTCCTCCTCGTCACCTGTTTACTCCTCCTGCCTCCCCCTTCCTTCCCAAGATAACGGCCACGCAATCCTGTTTTCCACTTTATGCTCCCCGACTTCTCCGATCAAGGCAACTCGCCAGGGCAAAGTTGCTGGACGGGCTGGTGTGGATGCGCGGGGCTTGAAGAGGTCGTTGCGGGCGCAGACGGCATGCAAAAATCCGCCGCCGCGCTTGTGCGGCATTGGTTTGTTCAGTGAACGTGGTTTGGGTCGCGGGTGGGTCGCGGGCTCTCCACCTCCACCTGGAAGGAATGCAAAGGCAGCCCGCCGCAGGCGCCGAAAAAAATGGTTTGTACACTGAACGTGGAATGGGTCGCGGGTGGGCCGAGGGTTCTCCACCGGGGACGAATGCAAAAGATGCCCGCCGCAGGCGCCGAAAAATGTGGTTTGTACCCTGAACGTGGTTTGGGTCGCGGGTTGGTCGCGAGTTGGTCGCGGGGTGGGCCGCGGGCTCTCCACCTGGAAGGAATGCAAAAAAAGCCCGCCGCAGGCGCCGAAAATGGTGGTTTGTACCTTGAACGTGGTTTGGGTCGAAGGTGGGTCGCGGGTGGGTCGCGGGGTGGGTCGCGGGTGGGTCGCGGGTGGGTCGCGGGTGGGTCGCGGGTGGGTCGCGGGTGGGTCGCGGGGTGGGCGGGTCGCGGGGTGGGTCGCGGGGTGGGTCGCGGGTGGGTCGCGGGGTGGGTCGCGGGGTGGGTCGCGGGGTGGGTCGCGGGGTGGGTCGCGGGGTGGGTCGCGGGTGGGTCGCGGGTGGGTCGCGGGTGGGTCGCGGGGTGGGTCGTGGGGTGGGTCGCGGGGTGGGTCGCGGGGTGGGTCGCGGGGTGGGTCGCAGGTGGGTCGCGGGGTGGGTCGCGGGGTGGGTCGCGGGGTGGGTCGCGGGTGGGTCGTGGGTGGGTCGCGGGTGGGTCGCGGGGTGGGTCGCGGGGTGGGTTGCGGGTAGGTCGCGGAGCGGGTTGCGGGTGGGACGACGACAACAAACAACAACAAACAACAACAAACAACAACAGCGAGAATCCGCACCGCGAAATCCCACTTCAGCCACGCACCGAGGGACAGTGAATGACCGTTCGGCCCCCTCACTCTGACATTCGGGCATCCGTCTTTTGAGGGACGCTGGAATGGCGTCAGCCTCCTGAGCATATGGACATGATCCCAGGCCTGAAAGGCCAACAATACCTCGCATCTGGGTCAAGGGGAGGAGAGTAGGAGAGCAAATCCAACGAGACGCAGCCGTGCAAGAAACACGGACGGAACGAGCACCCTATGGTATGTAGTGTTCCGATTGGACATGGGAAGCGCGGCAGCGATATGTACACGTATATGGCAGAACCAGATGTCGTGGCGGCAAAACGCCACGTAAGGGTGCCATGGAGTTTCGTCACAAGTAGATCGAAGACGAGTGGGGTGGCAGTACCCCCTCGCACACCGTGTCTGAGGCTGCGCCGTGCTACCAGGAGGGGCAACGAAACGGGGGAGGACCCGCTTTTGAGCGGGGAAACGTCGACCTGACATCGGCGATAGGACCCCCTGCAGCAAAAATCCGAACGCTCCTGGGCGAGGCGGGCTAATTATCGGTCCCCTACCGGCGTACGAATGGGCGATTGGGGGTCGATGAAAATCTTAGATCGGGCGTGTCCCCCTGCAAGGGGATTTTGGAAGAAAAATAAAATGAGACGGGGGAAAAACCCAATCAGGGCTATAGGGCTAGGGGGCTATAGGGCTATAGGGCTATTGAGGTATAGAGCTGTGGGCTATAGAGTTGTAGGGCTATAGGGCTACTGGGCTATTGGGCTATAGGGCACCCCCGCGCACCCCCAGGCACGCCCGGGCACCTGGGCACCCGGGCACCCCCGGGCACCCCCCGGGCACCCGGGCACCCCCGGGCACCCGGGCACCCCCAGGCACCCAGGCACCCGGGCGTGCGGCGAAAATCGGCGGCAAACCTAACCTAACCATATGAATATGCTAGGACACCTACAGAGGCAAGCTCTGATTGGGGAACATATTCAAACAATGCTCAAAAATAGCCAAAAATGATGAAAAAATCGTGCACAGACTATTGTTTGACTATGTTTGAATACTCCTCCTGTAGAGGGACACGCCCGACTTAAGCATACTCCTCTGAGCGTATCCCAGGAGAGCCCAGAATCGAATCGACAAGTCGGATCGGCTATCGAAGTGAGTCGGATCGGCGGAAATCGGCAGCCAGGTCGGGAGCAGTCGAACTGGCAGAAATCAGCAGGCTGGTAGGCATCCATTAAGAAATCCGAGCCCAAATCAGAATCCGAAGTCGAATCGAATCGAAATCGGAGGCCATCGAAATCGAATCAAATCGAAGGAATCGAAACGAGCCCTGCTATCCCCCCTGACGTTGCCCCTGATATCAGATGCCAGCCGCTCGCAGCACACCAAAACCAGATGCCCTTGGAGTCGCATCGCAACAGAGACTGGCTGGAGCGGCGGCGGCGGCATCCTGCAATGACCGGGCGAAGAGGCAATACCTACTCGGCACCCGAGCGGATGGCACGCGAGGAGACTTCAAAATCCTCGGCCCAGATCGCATCGTCCAGACACGCGGGCCCCGTGTCTGCTGGGATGCGATCATCGACTGGCGGGCGGCGGGTCTTCTGGCACGCCGCGACGTGGTCCGTGCACCTGCTGCTGCAAGGGTCTGCGCTGGCTGGAGCCAGGTGCCTGCTCAGTTCGTTGGCCTCGTGGAGCTTCCCCAGCTTGATGCAGCAGCGGATGGCGCCCCTGACGGTGCAGCGGTTGGGCTCGATGCCCGCCGCCCGCATCACCCCGAAGAGCTCCAGGGCCTCGCTCGGCTTCCGGCCGCCAGCGCAGGCCCGGATGACGCTGCCGTAGGTCTTCCCGTTGGGGGCCAGCCCGAGCTCGGGCATCCGCTCGAACAGCTCAAGGGCCCGTTCGGCCATGCCGAGATGCGAGCAGGCGCACAGCACGGCGTTGAAGGCCACGCGGTCGACCTTGACGCCCAGCTCCAGCAGCTCGTCGTAGAGCTGCAGCGTGAACGCCGGGTCGGACCGCTCGTGCGCGGCCATGACACAGCGGTAGGCGGTCGAGGTGAGGCGCATTCCACTCTCTCGCAGCTCCACAAAGACCTCCACGACCTGGTGTGGAAGCTTGCTGTTCCATGCACGTATGACCTGGCTCTGGACGAGGTTCGAAGGCGAGAGTCCATGAGCCATGATCGTGCGCATGAGCTGGATCCCGCACTTCTGGAGCTGCTCGTCATCCAAATTCGACGCCACGAGCCTGAAGAACTTGCTGGCGGTGCCGTTGCATATCGACCGCTGGTCGCAGCCGACTCCGCTCCTTAGCATATGGTCGAACAGTTCCAGCGTCATTGCTGCTTGTCCCGACCTGGCACAGGCGCCAACTAACAGCGATAACGACGACGCGTCGGACGGTAGGCAACCCCTGTCGGCTGTCTTGATCAAGTGCGCGTCGGTATCCCACTGCCCGACTCTCTTCGTGGTCGGCAGAATGATCTTCGCGGCGCTATGTTCGGCGGGCCCCACCTTGACCATGGAGTGGGTTCTGGGGCCAGAAGAGGTCGGGCCTATGACCTTGGGAGTGGGTACAGGGCACAGCGACCAGCGTCTCGATACGACAAAGCCTGCGAAGTACATGACGAGGAGCAGTAATAAGATTACGGCTTCG